TATAAATTCATATGATGTGATTTTCTGGAATTTTCTTTGGGATTCTGTCTTTCACTGTTAGAATGTACATATGATTAAAGTTATAGATCGTTGCATTCTTTGTAAGTGGGCAAACCTGCAAAATCAGCAAGGGGTCAAATACTTATTTCCCCCACTGTAAAAGTTATGAACAGGACCGGAGACATAGGGCAACCTTGGCGGAGTCCAACTCCCACCGGAAACGGGTCCGACTTACTACCGGCAATGCGAACTAAGCTCTGACTCCGGTCGTACAGGGACCGAACAGCCCGTAACAAGGGGCCAGGTACCCCATACTCCCGGAGCACCCCCCACAGGATACCCCGAGGGACACGGTCGAACGCCTTCTCCAAGTCCACAAAACACATGTGGACTGGTTGGCTGGACTCGAATCTACCCTTAAGTATCCCGCTGAGGGTATAGAGCTGGTCCAGTGTTCCACTGTCTGTAAGAAAACCCCAAAGCTCCACCTGAATCTAAAGTGCGTCCATCCAACCCTAACCCTAACCCTAACCTCTCCAGAACCCCCAAATAAACCTTCCCAGGGAGGCTCAAGAGTGTGATTTCCTTATAGTTGGAACACAGTCTACGGTCCCCCTTTTTAAATAGGAAAACCACCACCCCAGTCTAGGGATGTCCCGATCCAGATTTTTGCTAAGCTCTTTACGTGTTTCCCATTATTCCCGTTTCCATAATGATGAGCTCTAGATCAAGAGTGTGAGCACTAAACTGGCTTGTACTTTACATTTTTGTTTTAACTTCTCTTGTTTCTTATGCATCTGTGTGTCGTTACTAAACTCCCCCCCCCCTTAATGCTAACACCTTTTAAAAGCCTAACCAGGGACGAAGGCTGCAAATTAGCCCATTAAGCTACAAGCCTTATGCACTTGGACATCGGCCACCTGTTTGGTTGCAATGTTCAATTGTACTGTCCCTGTCAAATAAACAAATAGATAAATAGATGATGTGTACTTGTCGACATGTCAACAATTGTTCGGATAAGTAAACATTAAATATTCTGACCGGTGGTTGACTGCCTAACCTCCTGAGCCACAAATCCCGTGTTTAGTGTGTTACGTCCACCTGGCTCGTTTGGTGGGGTAACATTAATGGAGACCACACAAGGATTTTCTGAGTTAATAAAAAATTAAATATATTAAAATATATTAAGTAAAACCTGAAAAGGGATTACCTGAAATAAGAAGCCAAAACAGATTAATACAAAACCCATAACCAATTAGAAGTAAACAAACGCAAAACAAACCTAAGAAAACTCCATCATAAGGTCCAAACCAAACCAACTGGGGTTCTGAGGAGGGAGAGGAGAAAAAAGCAACCAGCTTTTAAAGCTGCAGAGCCCCAATCAGGGTAAAAACATAACACCTGCAGAAGGCCTGCCTCCAGGACCCTAAAAGGAAAAAAGCAGAGACCCACTGCAGCCGTAACAAATGGCACCACGTTCACTACCAGTGATCGAACACACTTGGAATGAGTTCTGGGACGTGTGGAGATGTGGGATCTGGGGCTGACGGGCCTTTTGTGTGTTCCAGGTGCAGATCTGTAAGCGCAGCGTGGAGGTGATGGACGCCGTGCGGCGCGGAGCCCAGCTCGCCATCGACGAGTGCCAGTTCCAGTTCAGGAACCGCCGGTGGAACTGCTCCACTCTGGAGACCATGCCTGTGTTCGGAAAAGTGGTCACGCAGGGTGAGGATACATTTAAAAAAAAAAAAGGGTCTAGGAGAGATGAGGTTTCTGCCCAGAAACTCATGCCTACAGTGGGGTAAATAAGCATTTGACCCCTTGCTGATTTTGCAGGTTTGCCCACTTACAAAGAATGCAACGATCTATAACTTTAGTCATATGTACATTCTAACAGTGAAAGACAGAATCCCAAAGAAAATTCCAGAAAATCACATCATATGAATTTATAAAAAAATTGATAACCATCTGATGAGGAAAAATAATCATTCTTTGTAAGTGGGCAAACCTGCAAAATCAGCAAGGGCTCAAATACTTATTTCCCCCACTGTACTGTTTGGCATCTAAATCTAAATCATGGACAGATATACAAACAAACAAACAAAAAAGAACGAGTTAGCATGAGCTGCTAATGAGATGCATGTGGAATTTATCATAATCTAAACAAGTTAGTATATATACAGTGGGGGAAATAAGTATTTGACCCCTTGCTGATTTTGCAGGTTTACTTACAAAGAATGCTTATTTTTCCTCATCAGATGGTTATCAATTTTTATAAATTCATATGATGTGATTTTCTGGAATTTTCTTTGGGATTCTGTCTTTCCCTGTTAGAATGTACATATGATTAAAGTTATAGATCGTTGCATTCTTTCTAAGTGGGCAAACCTGCAAAATCAGCAAGGCGGCCAAATACTTATTCCCCCCCACTGTAAGTAGTTTTGATATCACTTATGATTCAGTGTGAAACGCTCGAGCCTCTTTTCTGTGAGTGTTGGCTTCCCCCCGTCTGGGATCTGACCGCCGTGAATTTAGACTTCTTTTTTTGGTATTTTACATTTCAGACTGAGACACACACACACACACACACACACACACTTTCTTTCTTTTTCGTTTGCACCACAAAGTAAGTGTGACTGTGTGTGTTGTGTGTTGTGTGGCAGGCACCCGTGAGGCGGCCTTTGTGTACGCCATCTCGGCAGCCAGTGTGGCGTTTGCGGTCACCAGGGCCTGCAGCAGCGGGGAGCTGGAAAAATGTGGCTGCGACCACAACGTACATGGAGTCAGTCCGGAGGGTAAGCCTCTCTCTCTCTCTCTCTCTCTCTCTCTCTCTCTCTCTCTCTCTCTCTCTCTCTCTAGCTCCCTCACACTAACCTAAACACATGGAAAAGAAACAGAAAAAAGGCCAACCAAAGCATTATACAGTGGGGGGGAAATAAGTATTTGACCCCTTGCTGATTTTGCAGGTTTGCCCACTTACAAAGAATGCTTATTTTTCCTCATCAGATAGTTGTCAAAAAAAATGTAATTCATATGATGTGATTTTCTGGAATCTTCTTTGGGATTCTGTCTCTCACTGTTAGAATGTACGTATGATTAAAGTTATAGATCGTTGCATTCTCTGTAAGTGGGCAAACCTGATTTTGCAGGTTTGCCCACTTACAAAGAATGCTTATTTTTCCTCATCAGATGGTTATCAATTTTGATAAATTCATATCACGTGATTTTCTGGAATTTTTGTTTAGGATTCTGTCTTTCACTGTTAGAATGTACATATGATTAAAGTTATAGATCGTTGCATTCTTTGTAAGTGGGCAA